TTCTCCATGGTCCAGCGTATGTTGGCAATTTGATCTCTAGTTCCTCTGCCTCTTCGAAATCCTGCCTGTACTTCTGGTAGTTCTCAGTCCACATACTGCTGCAGCCCAGCTTGTAGGATTTTGAGCATAACTTTGCTAGCATGTGAAATGAGTGCAATGGTGCGGTAGTTTGAACATTCTTTGGCATTGCCCTTCTTTGGAATTGGAATGTAAACTGACCTTTTCCAATCCTGTATTTAATTATATCTTGTATATCCCACCCCTTAGCCCAGAGGGCTCTCTGGGTGGTTTACAGTAGAATACAGCAAGATCCACATTATAATATTAAAACAAATTAAAAAGTAAGCTGTGATAATAATTGACCTTGCCCCCACCAAAAAACTTTGTGCCGAAGCCCATGTTGAACCTGCATCACCCAAGGACAGTGCCCTGTTTGCTGCCTGCTAAAGATTGGCTGTTGGGGAAGCCCTGCTCTCACTCTTTCGCTTTCTCGCCACGTGGAGGCCATGCTGCAATATACAAGGGGTCTTCAAAAAGTTTCTACACTTTCATATTTTATAAATAAATTATATATTTTTGCTGATGGCATTACAAAGTTGGTACAATGCTGAGAAAAATGCATCACAAAGGCAGGTGACTATGTAGAAAAGAGATGTGATTTGTTTTAAAAAGTTTTAATAAATAGAATTTTAAAAAGTGTGGAAACTTTTTGAAGACCCCTCATACATTGTCGCTGTTCTGATTCTGCCCTTTGAGAGACAGAGCGAGGCTTCCCCTCTTTTTCATATAGCCTTTTTCCCCAGGGATGACCATAGAGCGCCCAAGTTTCCCTGCTGCTCATCTCCCCTGGTCAATGGGGGCAGGGGGCAGGGATCACTGATGGTTCCCACCCTGACTCATGAGCAGACCTCGCGAGCGTGGCTAGTCCCCAGTTAACCTGAAGCTCCCTGGGTGACACTGAGCCAGTCGCAGACCCTCAGCCTAACCCCCCTACAGGGTATTTGTTGTGAGGATAAATAAGGAGCAGGAGAACCTTGTAAGCTGTCTAGGATTCCTGGCAAGAAGAAGAAAGTTGGGAATAACTTGGGTGAAGCCAGAAGCTTTACTTTACATGTGAACCCTCTCTATGTCTCTTCCCCCTGTGTGTGTGTGGAGGGGGTGGGGGTGGAGAGAGCATGCATCAATGCTGTCTGTGGCTTTGCGCTGTATACAAAACAGGAAGCTTGGCTTTGTTCCAAATTCTCTACCATGAAAGACTATTGGTCTTTTGCTTCCAGGATAGCATGGATGATAATTTCCACTAAAACATGTAGTGAAACATGTTTTGGCATAATAATTCTACTTTGCTGAATGTGTGAGAGCACCCATGTGTGTGTGCCCAAGCATTGCTACTGATGCCTAGCCTGTCATGGCTTTCATCCACCCATTGCTTCTAGGAATTTAATAATCGTGGCAGCACAAGGAAATACAAAATATGTGAAATGCTACATGTGTCACCCACAAAATTGCTAGCTGGCTTGAACTGCACTTGATGTTTCATACAGGTGGTGCCCTAAGAACCTATGAAGGCTATAATTTAGTCCATTAACTTTGTAATTCAGTTTAATAGAAAAGTATAGTTGCTGTTAAGGAAAAATACATTACACTGATTTAACATGCATGTGTTATATTTGATGGTTCTCTTGTCAGTATTAAATACCCCACTGATTATACAAGAAACTTCTGACTTTTGAAAAGTGCTAGCATAACATAACTTTACAGTTTTAGCTGTTCTCTCAGACTTCAGTCAGTGATACAGTTAAGCTATTCTATCCTGTAACCAGACTCTCTCCCACCTCAATTCATGGCAGTCTTAAATAATCTGCTTTAATCTGTTTCCATTGACAGCTGTATTGACTAAGATAATTTACCTCTGATTTATGCTCATATAGTCTATATCTCTTGCTACATAATTTATGTGCTAAAAGATTAGGCACTTAATTTTTTTTCTGTATTTATCTAAAGCTTAGAATTTACAGTCAAAACCTCACTGTAATCTTCAGCTTTGTTATTTCTCAAACATGTCAAGTTTTCCATTCCTATAATCATCGCATGGTTTAATCATCTAGTAACTCAGCCTTGTTTCCTTGGATTGCTTCCAGTTGATTGCTACCTTATGTCTTCTTTTTCCTAACATATTAGGCATGGAAATGGCCCTGGAACAACTTTATCATGGGCTGCTGTGTGGCTGATTTTGACCTTGGAACTGTATGCACCATCTTTCATTTTCAGTGGATTAAAATGCAGGCATGAAGCAGATCATGGGGATAATTTTTCCAGCTATAACATAGTTTCTTGGCTGAGGAGGAGGAGAACTATTCTTTTAGTCTTCTGAAACATTTTGCTCTGCCTAAAAGATGACATTTTCTTTTCTGTCCATTTGCCTAAAACATTTTTAATTTTTATTTTATGAAGCATAACATTCCCATTTTCCTCTGTTAGCCTAGTGTAATCTGCTAAAGCTTTAGAGGATTCTGAGAAGAGTATATTAAAAGTATGAAGATAGCTCTGTTATCACTGATCTGTTTTAATAAGCAATTTAGATTCAGTTTCTATGGTGGGGGACGAGGAAATGAATGCTAAGCACCTCTTTGATTGTTAATACAAATCACCAAAGCATTTCATCTTGATGGATAATTCCAGTGCCATCCCCCAAATTCACACTTGCTCGTTTCCTGAACTTTCCTCTGTTTCCTCCTACTTCCAGGCATTTTTGTGTAAGTGTATGTTTTAAATATTTAGAATGAGTAGCTTAGTTTAGCTAAATGTTATGATCATTTATAGAGCAAGCCTTTTAAGGCGATGGTTTCAAGTGACAATAGCACGATTCTGAGTAGTACACTGTTCATTTCCAGCAAGCCTCATGGAACTGATTCTCTTTTGCAGAATTATGGTTTACAATGCAGAAGGAAATATAGATGTTTCTGTTTTGGCCTGAGAAACCAACATACACTGAGAGAGAACACAGAAATAACTCTAAACAATTGGTCCAAACAGGCATCAAACAGAAATGTGATCCTTCGAGCACACGTATCAGAGCTGGCTTCTTCTAGGATCACTCAGAAGTCATTGTGCTTCTACACAGAAGGTGTTAGAGCCAATGTAGAGAGGGATCTGTCAGCTCTTTCAAGTAACAGCCTCCCCAGATCTGTTCTTCAGATTCAGAAGAGGAAAAGGAGGGGCAGATGTGGGCAGGTTATTTTTCTGTTCAGTTCAGGCCACAAAGTGAAAATAGTCAGAACCAGCCTGCCTTGGAAAAGCAGGAAGTCATTTCAGACCAGAGCAGGGTGGAGACTGGTATTGTGGGGAGGGGTCCCTTGCCTCCATAAAAAGGTGACAGCTGAAGTATGTCCAACATACCCGTCAGCTAGCCCTCATCAGCAGGAGCCATTCTGAGGGTGGAGTCAGAAGCTTTTCTGAAAGGGAGGGAAGGAGAGCAAGTTTCATTTCGGATTCATCTCTTCACATAGGCAGATGTGACTCCAACTTCTCAAAGAGACTGCGACTTTGATTTTTGTGGATTGCAACCTATCACGCTCAAATAAAAGACTGTGATTCTAAGATTGTCTCTAAATCTGCTGGAGAGGAAAAAGGGAGGAAGAGAGCTTCCAGCAGCCAACAGGAAATACTGTACTGTTTACTATTTTCTGGAGACATCCGGCTGGTTACTCTTGGAAATACGTGCTGGAATAGATGAAACTTGTGATGATCCTACAAGGTATCTTGTCGTCTGTGATGGCCCCTGATTAAGAATTTTAGGTTGCTGTACCTCATGGAAGAAGCCTGTCCAGTATTGCTCACAAGATTTGTGCCTCATAAATTACCTCTTGAAACTATAGGCCAGGGTGTGGCCTATACAACTATAGGCCAGCTGTAGATGCTTGTGAGTAGCCACTCTTTCTGATCGCCATAACTTTATGTAGATCTTGCAAGCAAGCAACCACCTCAGCCTGCTTCTGACAATAATCCATATTGGGGAGGACAGCCTGCAGCCCTCCTGATGTTTGAGCTTGCAAGTCCCCTCAGGCCTAGCCAGCATAGCCTATGGTGCGGTCTGATGGGAGTTGTAGGCCCAAATATCTGGAAGGGTGCAAATTGTTCACCCCACTATGATAAGAGTCAAGAAGAGATAGTTTGTCCCAGACAAAACTTGTGATAATGCTTGCCTGAGCTGCAGTTTCATTGGATTTCAATTCTGCTTGTTAAAATTCCATTAAAGCTGTCTTCCTGAGATCAGTATGGCAGCAGTTGTCATACCAAGCTGAATATTTAGTCAGGCTCACTATCACCAAGAGATGGATGGAAGAACAATGCAAAAGAACTGAACCAATATAATTGAGAGGAAGGAGGACCAGTTTTGTGGAAAGCCTTTCCCATAGTTTAACCTGTTCAGCTACATAGCATTACTTGACCAGAACTGGCTGCCTTTTATAGCTTTTAAGCCCTCTCTAAAATGGAAGATCACTGTAGCTGAATTGTGTGGTATCCCTTCACCACTCATAAGAATGTCAGAACAGCTCCTGCTGGATTAGACCCAAGCCCAACCTAAACAAGCATCCTGTGGTCCCACAGCAGCCACCCAAGAAGTTACTAGGTAATCCAGAGGCTAGACATGACAATTGCAGCCCACTCTTCCCAAGATCCCCATTCCAGCCAGCAATTGGTGTTCAACGGCTATTCTTGAAACATGGAGGTTTCATTTAGCTCCTGCAAATGTTTGATGGAGTCTTTCTGTGTATTGGGTGCAAAGGGGAGAAAATGCACCCTGAAAATCCATTTCCCATGAATGGAGCCCTTCCATTTACAGAACGCATCCAAGCGTATTCTTACTGGTAGTCCAAGGTCTCCAGAAAAACATGGAACGTGACTTTTCTTTGTAGAAGCCATGCTTATTCTTCCTTGACAAGGCTTATTTTATATGCTAATTCTATCTTTAATAATTTTTCCACCAGTTGACCTAACCACTATGACTAATTTCACACATGTGCAGCCACTCACTTCTACTCTCTAAAAATCAGCATTATCTGGTTTACTTCCTAATCTTCATAAAAAGAGACAAGTTGAATATTTTTCTCAGGAGAACAGCAACGTCACATCTCTTGTCACATTCTTGTGTGTTTACCATCCAGACCTAGTGACTTGTTAATATTTAATGCAATTTAATTTGAACTTCACCTTTATTTTACCCAGTTCTTCAAATATCTTCTGGGGGAAAATGGTTCAGTCATGTGTATCCATACTTCTTGAGCCCTGAAGAGCAATGCAAATAATTCCTTCATTCCTTTGTCATCTAACCATCTAACTAGGTCCATGGCTGGTTTGCTACTTACAATGTATTTACTGTTGTCATGGAAAGCCATCAGGGTTTCCCCATTCCACTGGCCATCTGAGCAAAATCCCTCCCAGAAACTCCATGGTCCCAGAGGCCTGGACCAGTCACTGGATTCACCACATGAAAAAACCAAGCTTGGGGATCAAACAAGTTTAGTGAAAGGATAAAATATAAGGGTGGAGAACTTTATCCCCCACCCCTTGCCTAGGTCAGCTGACCTGTGGGGTGATGGCCCATCTCCCAGTCCTTGGGGCCTGCCATTTATACCAGGTGTCGCTTGTCAGCCGGTCATCCCTATTATCTCCAGCATCCTTGAGGCCTTATTTGATAGTTCTCACCCCCTTTGCAAGAGAAGGATGATGACTCCCAGAGACGATGGTCCCAGATTCCAGCTGGACAGGAACCTGATTTTTCTAGCATTTCCTCAATTACAGTATTAACCCTTCCCCTGCCCTCTGGAGCCTCAAAAATCTGTTCATGTCACACCTATTGTGTGTGTGTGTGTACGTACCTGGTGGCAATTCTGTGGCCTTTTGATGCATCTGAGTTCCAGAGTGAGGCTGGGTGCACGAGGGGTGCAGGACCTCTCTCAATTCAAGGTCTGCACTCCATTTGAGAGATAGATGCTCTGCTGCTGCATTCCAGATGGGGGAGAAAGTGAAAGGAGCTGTGCCAAAGTGCCTGAATATTTTACCATTAAGATCCTACTGCCAGTGACTAAGTCTTTTAGGATGTGGTGGAAACCTTCACCCACTTGGAAGACAGCTGCTGATCAGTGGATGGGGTAACAGAGTAGAGGTGGGGTGAGGAACCCTGGAGGTCCAGATTTGGCCACAGGACCCAAAAGGCGCTACCTGTAGAGCAGCAAGATCCCCGGGGAAAGGCGTGTGTGCAAGGAAGCACAAAAGCTGCAGTGGGTAGCAAGGCTTGCAGCCCTGGAACTGCAGGGCTGTCTTGCACAACTGAGGGGGAAGTGCAAGAAAGGCAAGCAAAGGGAAAACATGCCTCTTAGGCAAGGGCTGAATCACAAGGAAGTGCTTGGAATAGACTGTGGCACTGGAGCTCACTTATCAGTCTGTCAACAAGACTTCCTCTGTTCTGGATCATCCTCTGCATCATCCTTATCCTCTGATGTCTTACTGAACTTACAATTCAGTAAACTGGTCCCAGTTGCAGCCTCTAACCTATCTCACACAGCACTCAGGATAAAAATGGGGAGAAGAAAAAAAATGAGGAAATTCCCAAAAAGAGAACAGGATACAAATATGATGAATAAACAAACCAGGGGTGGTATTAACATCCAATTCATCAGTGTGGTGAGTTTCTGTATATAGATGGTTTGAAAGAAATTACTTCCAGTTCCTGATCCTCTGAGAAAGTATCCAGTCCAAATACATGGGAGAATTTCTAAAAATGTACTTCATTTTTCTGAATCTATGAGGACAGGGCTTGACTGGGGAGGGGCAAATCTGCAAAGCAATGTTCCTATCTGGTTGACTCTGAGGTGATCCACAGATAATTACCACCACAGTTGCTTGCTGGCTTGCTGTCTCTGGCTTTGCTTGTTTGTTTTGTTTTTACATGATCTGATTTCTCACATGGCTGGTTTCTCTCATCGCTAATTGTCAGTTCTGCTCTTCTTTTGGCCCAAAGGCCAAATCAGGCTATGCTCTCCTGTTTCCTGGAAAGCTTTCCTTTGATGAACTATAAAGGATGAAAGGAAATAAGCACAGGGTAGTGGTAAAACACACAAAAGGAGACGTTCTTGATCTTATTCCAGCGCAAGACTCTTATCTTTGCAATGCTTCTCCTCCCCTAACACTTGTTTTACATATTGTCAGAGGTCTTCTCTGAAGTGGCTCACAAGACCCCAAGTACAATGGTTACTTCTTCATAAGTGTCACTTCTGTGAGGCAGACCCAGAAACCTTGTGAATTAAGGGGGAAAGGCAGCGGGTGCTCTAGTTTGACAATTCAGTGCCATTGCAGACAACAACCCAGAGGAGCATCAAAGAAGTGTTTGGAGATTAAAAGGCTGCCATGTTATCCCCTCGGTTTCCTAGCAGCAATTTAACCGGCTCCCAGGAAGAAAGAGCCATCTGAAGAAAGTTCAAGTGCGCAAGACAATCAAGTGAAGCAGACCTCATGCCTCCAGAAGTTTTATATCACAGCTCCTCATATTTCTGGCTGCAGGTCATGCTGACTAAAACTGATAGAAGGGAAAGTCAAAAAGATCTGGAGGGCATTCGGTGTGGGAAGGCTGAAATAAATTAGAGCAGAATGGGGGGGGCATGGGAAAAGATCTATGTTGGGGAAGAGTCGGGTTTTACGGGGTAAAGGAGCAAAGCAGTATACATTTAGAAAGCTGCAAGGGGCAATGGTATGATTGGCTGGAGAGGTTAGATGAGAATATGAAGGAGGGATTGGAAGGAAAACAACTATAGGAAATGATATTACAGATTCAAGTGCCTGCATCCTGCTCCTAAACTCAGCAAACAGATAAAAAAATTCTTAACAGGTTCAAGAGGAGATTCAGTAGGTTCACAGAATCAGAATGACATCACCTATACAAGCCCCAAACGTCATTGGATAGAAATTCCATCTAGATAGTGCTTAAACCAAAAATACTGCCAGTCCATGTGTGCATTGTGGACCGCCCTGCTTCTGTCTGGGACTGTTTGGTACCGAGCCCTGCAGTGTTCACATGTTAAAAGAACACCAGATCAAATGCACTTTTGTGATTTGCTTCTGCAGGCAGTTGATGACCTCAATCCTCTAAATCACTAACATTAGGAAGGATCATGCCCTAGGTAACTACCATTGTTTTGAGGTACAATACCACTCCTATCCCATTATTTCAAGTGTAAACATCTGCAGATCCGGCTAGTTATACTGTGTTGCTAGCCTGAAAATAGCCAACATTGTCATGCTTCAACTTACCAGGCCAGATCCTTCTAGAGCCCAAATCTTTCTACAAACCAAACTGCATCTTACTTTAAACAAATTAATTTCAGCTATTGCCATCTCTTCCCGTGGTTCCCAATGACCTGTACTTTGAAGCATAGGCAACCTAACATCCTCTTGCTTGGCCTTTGCCTTCCCCGCTGCCACCACAGCAAGCATCAGCCAATGATGTGGGGAAGGGGAAGGGAAATACTGAGCATGTTGCTCTCGTACATCTGCTTAGCTAAATGCTAGCCAAAGATGCGAAGGGGAAATTTTAGGTGGCAGGAGTTACCCATGGAAGGTAAGATGTAATTTGACTGTTACGGCTGAAATGATCATCCTTGCTATCACTTGTTTATGAACCTAAAGTTGGTACCTTTTATGCTGGCTCTGAAATATGTTTTGGAACACACAATTCAGCAACACGTTCCCAGCCAGAGTGCCTAAGTCAGTGTCATGATGCAGAAGGAGCTGCAGCACAGCCATTAATCCATGCTTCAGTTGCACACATTTCTTTGAAAAGAAACAGCGATGAAAATGTGCATGGTCACATCCAATATGAGACATTGCTGTAGAGTGCAAGGTGAACCTCACCTCAGGCTGCTTCCACTGCAAAGAGAAAACTGGCGAGTGGAACCAGCAATGCAAATGTTACAATGTTCTGTTTCCTCTTCCAGCCAGCTGTGCCCTCCTCCAGTTGCTCTGTGACCTTTCCCTTCCCATCTGGTCACCCAGCATGGCCAGTGTCTTTTGGACTGTTTTCTTTTTCTTTTTTTTCTTTTTTTGGGGGGGGGGCAGGGGGAGCATCCCTCCCTGCTTAGTGTCTAAAAATATTTTTATACTTCTCCAAGCCTCATGTTCTCTTAAGTCAGCTGACAACCCCCTCTTGTATATTGGTGGTGTCATTTTTGCTACATAAACAACAGCACTCATGTGCAAAAATTGGAAATAGAAGGAATCAGCCTTTTTCTGAAAGGCTCAGAGAATCGACAATATTCCAGCCTGCTGCTGTAAAGAAGAGCTGATGAGCAACAGTCTAAGCAGAATAAACCTTTGGTCCATTGAGGAGAGAGGTGATAAATCTGTGTCTGAGTTATCAGGTGTAAGGCCATTTGTGAGAGCTCACATGACTGAATGATCCTTCATCTAAATCAAAGTCTCTACATAGAAACCAAACCAATGGAAGAAAGACATTCTAACTTAGTCTGGTTCTGTGCCAGCTTTCTATATGAAGAGGCCTTTTTTATGGTGGTTGGTTGGTTGGTTTACTGGTTCAGCTGTGCAAACCTTTCCCTGCAATCTGGTGTAGGCCAGGCACAAGTCCGGCACCATCATGAGTTCCAGGCCTCCTTTGTTTCTACACATTATGGCTAATATGTTAATTATGAATTATATACTGCAGAAGGATAGGAGTGTGCATCTTATGGGTACTGACTGAATTCTTAGACAAAGTAGGACAAAACTAGCAACAGTTCTAAGCATGCTTACTCATTGGGTCCTTACTGACTAACCAGAGGGTTTGGAGTGCAGCCTTGGCCACCAGCTCCCAATGTCCAGGGAAGGACTGCCCTGAGCGAACATGACAGGGTTCACATGAACATGCAAGGAAGAGGGTAGGTGAAGGAAGAGTGTGGCGAGGAAGTGTGAATTGTGCCAGGTCAAAACAAGGAGGTTGCTCACACATTCAAATGTCCGTGGCACGTGAGAAAGCTTTGGAGAATGAGGTACTCAAGTCAGCTGCAAATCTTTCTCAGCTAAATGGTTGCACAAACTGGGCAGGGAGCAGACAAGTTTGATTTGGGAAGAAAATACAGTATAAATCTGGACATTCAAGAGCATCATTGCAATGGTTAGAATCTGCCTCCCATTTTAATCTGGTGAGGACGATGATGGCTTCTCTGGGCATCCACTAACTGTGGTGCAGACAAGGAAGGTCAAGAAGAACAGCCATCTCCTGCAATACTTGACCTTGGGCTGTGCTGGCTAGTGCTGATGAGGGCTGCAGCACAAAGTTTCTGGAAGGGGCCAAGTTGCCGATTTCTGGCTCAACAGCACTACGGTTAAGCACCTCTGTGGGTTTCTCTGAGTGGGTTCTTGTCTGTTCCATTTTTAGTTTCTGTTCCCCAGTGGTATAGTGAAAGATATATGCTGCTTTAACTTCTGCCAGAATGGTGCCATATTCTTCTTTCTAAGTAGATCATAGCTTACTATTTTTGACAAGGACAGAAGTTTCTGTCTTGTCTATTCCACTTTGGCAAAAGGTATTTCTTTCTAAGTGGGCTCCGGGGGATGGTGGAGGACAGGAGAGCCTGGAGGAATGTTGTCCTTGGGGTCGTGATGGGTCGAACGCGACTTTGTGACCAACATTTCTTCCTTTTCTACTTCATGAGCACTCATTTGGTTAGAAATATCTTAATACATTCCTTGCTCCTTGCTATATCCTTGCTGTTGCTAACATACCCAAAGAAGGCCCTTTTAAAATTTCTTTCTGACAGCAGGAGATACACCATCTTGCATAGGGAAATGGCACCTGGCCAAATCTGGTGCATCAGCCAGGTGCAGAAAGTGCAAAAGGATAGGGGGAACAGAAACAAAATACCTTTAGCAGAATGGTTACCTTCTTTCACCTCCCAGATGGAAACCTAGTCGAAGGGATGTATTTTGCCCTTTGAACAAAGCAAAGCTGGTTGAGAGCTTGTCAGGAATATGGTCCCTCTGATGGTTCTTAGCATCCCCCTTCCTGAGCGAGCATCTCTGACAGATTCAGTACTCCCCTGCTGTTGCCTGGTGCAGGTCTGTTTTATTTTACATGAGGCCAGAGTGTTCTGTCTTTGAGACACAGGGCATCTCGAAACCTTAACTGAATCATTAAAGAACATTAATGGAATTAAAGCAGCACACACACCACATGATCTTGTCAATTTAACACGGCACTCTGGTTTTCTGTAGAACATTTCAGTTTTGAAAGCTTTGTAATGGCGGATTCCTGTCACAACAACCTTGAGGGGAAAGGATGGTCTGGCAGGAAGTGGTTTCAGTACCGTGTCTGTCAGATTGCTTTGCCCTTTTTGCACTTGATTAAAACTTCAATTACACCAGGCATGCCTATGTGGCAGGGATCTTCTTTTCTTTATCTAAGTAGGCCAAAAGAGGTGAATTTGAATCTATAGCACTGTTGGTCAGAAGGCCAGTGGCGAGTCTGGCAGGAAGATGAGAACTCAAATTCCTCAAAGCAGAATGTGGTGTTCAGGCCGAAATGAAATGGCCTTACCCTTCCTTGAGCCTGTTCAGGGACGAAGAAATGGCCTAGCTGTTGGGGCTCGTCTTGGAGAGGGGGCCACTGAGGGCAGCTGCCAGGGACCTGGCCCATCTCAGAGTTGTGGCCAGGCAAGGCCACAAGGCCTCTTCTTTGCAGTGTGGAGAGTGGGTGCCTTTGGAATGGGGGTGGGGGCAGAGGAGGGGAGAGAATGCCTCAAAACAGCCTTTCTCAGCCAGTGTTCCCCTGAAGCCTAGGGGTCCGCGAAAGGTCGCTAGGGCTCCATGACTGGAGGAAAAACAAACATTGCATTTTTACATTTGCATATGTGTGCTTGTAATAAAAGCACGCAGATGAGCTTTTGGCCAAGGAGCCCTTCCACGCAGCCTGGTTGCCTAGGAAATGGGAGGGGGCCCAAGGGGAGTCTGCATGTGCAAGGGAAGGGTTGGGGTGAGGGTGGGAAGAAGGTGTTGTGGGTGGGGTGGTGGTGGCAGCAATTCCACCTGCCTAGCATTAAACAGCCAGGGCCTCCTTTCACCACACCACCCTCCTGGCCACTGAGGTGAAGGGGTAAGGAATGGGCCCTGGGTGGTGAGCAGTGCAAGTCTCCATGGACAGAGGCAGTCTACCTCTGGGATGTGGTGCTGCGACAAAGAGGAAGAGGGTGCTGCCTTCACGCCTGCCTGGTGGGCCCTCCCCGCAGGCAGGTCAAGTTAGGCTAGGGCAGGCTTTTGTCTCTTAATCAGCAAAGCAGTTCTCATGGGAAGGGTGGCAGGGTGCTATGTCACTTTAACAACACACATAGCAATAACAATATAAATACAATGAAATTTTGTTGTACTCCTGAGTGCACTAAAAGATTTAAATGATATTTAGACCATGGGGTGGGGGGTTATAAAACCCTTGCATGGACAATGGACTTTTCTAGGCTTATGTGAAGATACTTTAACCTTAGTATAGCCCAGGTCTGATGTGTTTAC